ATGGACCTTTATCTAAATTAAAACTTAGACTCCCATAGGCAGTACATTAAGCAGATGAAAATCAGATAAGGCTAGTGTCCAATATTGAAGAAAGAGAGTGGATTTAGTTATTTGAGCAAAATGCTAATTTTGACTGACAATCATAACATTAATAATAAAACTAACATTTATAACAGCAGCAGAAGCAGTGAACATTTTTAGTGTTTCCACACATTAGACTTTATATTCACGATAACCACAAGGGTTTATATTATTATTACATTGTCCATATAAACAAAGGGAGGGTTAGAGAAGTTAGTGATTTGCTGTAATATCACCTTGAGTGCACTGAATAGCAAATTCAGAATTATCTCAGTCTTTTCTCAACTTCCTCCACCTGCTAAGCCCATGTTAAGTTTGGTTGTATCAGCATACTGATTTGAATATGAATGCTGACTGAGTAGTATCATGTTATCTAACAAGCTTGAGATAATTTTGTATGGCATATAGAAACTTGTGTGTGTATGTGTATGTGAGGAAGGGAGCTGGGTGGTATAGATTTTTGCAGGTTTCTTCCTCCACATTTGAAAAGAACTCAGGCGGGCAACTTTTCGTCATCTTTTTACAAGGAAAAGAATGCAAAACACATTTGTCATACGTCTATACACATGTCTTTTTATGCTTAATAGCTGGACCAATTACATAGATCTCATAACCATTGTTTCTAATTCAAACTATAGGTCCTGAACTCACAGGAAACATTGCATGTAACAAAGCTGATCAGAGTCCATTGGCTTGATTAAGACTGCAGCTTTTCCTAACATACAGCCCACTGTGGTGATAATATCCTAACTCTGGTTAATTTAGGGGGTAGAAGGTTTCTTGGTGCACCATAAGTATATAGAATTGAATCAGGTAGAGCTATGGTTGTACCTTTGCTAGATGACTTCTTAACATCATCATCATCATCATCATCATCATCATCACCAGGAGCACTAGCAGGAGCAGCCACACTTAAGTTATTGCTGGTGCTTAGGTAAAAGATTTTATTTGTTAGTTTTTGGTTTCACCAGAAGTAAACTAGAACTGATTTCTTACATGGGTGCATAGTAATCTGGTGAGGTGGTGAGATAAAATATCACTATGAAGTTTCACTGAAAATATGGTGACTGTCCTTGGACAGACTCTACAGACTATTTTCTGGATTTATTTAATGTGATGGGACATTATGATTGTCTTCCTACACTCTCTCCACTCCTCATATTCCCTTGTTAATATGAAGATTTAGTGGGTCATAATTAGCAAGAGCTAGCTGACATTCTTTTGTCTTCCCTGGCACAGTCATTGTGTTAGGGACAAGGGAGAACCACATCTTATCCAGTGAAAATTCTAGGACAAAGACCATCACTCAGAACCTGGAGTTATTTTACTCTGACTGAAGAAAGTCAGGATGTATGCCGTATATGGAGTGATGTGAAGATGTAGGTGTGGGTCTGCTGTAGCCACAAGGGCAATCATTTGAAGATACAGTTCCTGCACGTCAGAGGAAAATGATGAGGCCATCAATTAAGTGGAGACAGAGTACCATATAAGTCATGTCTAAATTCCATCCTAGCTTTTTAACTCAACAAAAGATCTCACTTGACTTTTGGAAACAGTTCTTGTGCTGGTCTGCAGCCATGCGCGTGCACCTGCAACTTCAGCACCTGGGAGGCAGAGGCAAGAGGATCAAAAATCTGAGACCAATTTAAGATCCACAGAGATTCTGTCTGAAATAAGTGAGGACACAAGTCAGTTTTGAATTTTGGCTTTGTTATTACTGACACAGTAAGAAATGTCATTGGTTTGGGATTCTTTGGTGGTCCAGAGACAAAAGTGATGGTGCGTTTAGGGTGTGGCTCTCCTTTCAACTTCCTCTTTGCTCAGGAATTTCCACACTCACTTCCTGTCACACCCACCAAACTTCAGGCATTTTTGATGCTGAGCATTTTATAATTAGAAGCTAAATATAATTTGTTGTTGTTATACCCTATGGCTCATTGCTTTCAGACCTTGTAAAGGTCATATGGTTCAAACGAGGGCTAGACTCTTTCCCCTTTCCCACATATCACTAAATATTAGCGTCTGCTCTGGAGGAGAGCAACATCTGTGAGTTACAGAAAATTGCCACTTTCTTTACTTGACCATCTATGGCACTTCACAATTCGTGTTTATTGTCTAAAGGAACAATTATATTTACGAGAAAAGTCACTGTAGCCAATATACTTTGAAAAAGATATATTTTGAATAAAACAGGCCTTATTTTAGCACCTTTTTATTTGACTACCTACTAAGGTATGGTGGAAGGAAAAGAGAGCAGCTAAGAAAAAAGTAAAGGATTCTGTAAGTCAGATTGTCTCAGGGAATTAATTAGGAAAACAACAGATGATGTTCCCTTAATCTCTTCTTAGTGGCTCTATGACTCTACATATGTAATATTTAATTTTTTTCATTTTTGTACTTGAGTCATGTCAGGAAAGGCAATGCTCACTTAACTAATACATAAATTCTAAGTCATAGTATCCTAATCAATGCAGTTCACACCTATCTAGAAAGTGGAGACTGGAAATTCTGGGCTGCGCAAGTGGTTTTACTCCATTTAGAGCTAAGGGACCCAGGTTTCTTCCGTCTCCACTTTGTTACCTTTAGGACTGGAATTGGAATTATATACTGTTGGCTACATAGAGATTTTCATATTCTATCACAAAACACAGGACAAAAGCAACAATAAGAAAGAAAGGTGTATTTAGGTTTACGGGTTGAGGGTGCAGTGGGTGATGATGGGGACTTTATAAAAGCTGGTTGCATTGTATGCTTGCTGTTCTTGACTTTGGGGTACATTTGTCATCAATATTGAACCAGCATTTGCTGCTCTTGAACAAAATAATGTGGCAAGTTGTAGTTCTTTCCATAAAGCTTTGAATGTGATAAGACACACATTCTTATGTAGGATATAAAACTTACATTTCATTGATGAAAATGTAAGATATAAAACTTACATTTCATTGATGAGAATATAATCATGTGGCTGCATCAGAAGCAAGGTGGGCTGGAAACATATTATCTAACTAAGAAAATATACTCTAAATAAATGTACTGTCTAATTTCGAAGCCTCTTCCAAGCCGCATTTCAAAACCATGAAGTGAGTAACTTACATTTTGGGAGATATTTACCTGCTTCTGCTACAGGATATTTGAATATCAGCTTGAATGAAATCCTAGTTATAAATCATTAAGCTTATCCTGCATCTGAGACAACATGCTGGTTCTCAAAAGAGAGGAGGCTGGAGAGAAGACTGAGCAGTGAGGCGTGCGTACTGTTCTTGCCATGGACCAAAGAGCTTGGCTCAGAGCGCCATGTGGGACATCTCACTAATGCCTGGAACTCCAGCTCCACATTCTATGCTCTGGTATGCACAAGTATCTGTACTCATGTGTACACATCTACACATAGGCATGCAAGTACACATAATTCAAAAATAGTATTTTTAAGGGGAGATGAGGAAGATGTAATTAAATAAGTGAATTCTCTATATACATATTTGTTTCCTGTTTAGAAAAGAAGACAAACTGAACGACGTTATTTAGATAGACTCTGGAAGGGATGATGGTATGGGAAAGAGTTGAGGAGTCTGAATCTTGATTTAGTTTGAACTAGATATCAACTATTGGGTGTTTCCAGCTGGGTAGTGAGATTAAAAATTAAATTGTTAAGCTTAGGTGACTTGGAGCAGAGGCATTCAGATCTGCAATTTTCTATTCTAGAACCTCAGCTATCCCAGTCCTATCTGAATGTACCCAGAGAACTCTTTCAGCAATCAGAGAAGGCAATAGCTGTCACCAATTAACTGAATCTCCAATGATGAGTTGAGGAGGCAAGATAGACTTGGTTTTCAAGGCTCTTGAGGAAAATTCAGCACTCAACCCCTTCCCGCCTCTGCTTTGTGCCATTCTTTACTTTTTTTTTGACGAAATTCAGCTAAGTACTTGCATCTTGCCTCATCGTGGTGATATTGAGATGATTAAAACTGTATATCTGCCCTAAGGAATATGTGATTTAATAGAAGAGCTACATAGAAAACTAGCTTCAATAAAATATGGCAATTACTCCCAGAATGTGGTGCCCCTCCATGACTAATTTCATGTGAGGGGGTGGCTTTGGGTCCTAACAATGACTTCCGAGGTTGATGACACCTGAGTTATGTCTGGATAGACAAGTAAGAGTCAGCAAAGGGACAAGGCTGGTATGAGAATTCATAGGGAGACAGAAAACTCAGAGAGACCCAAATAACACAGTTATTTGGAAGAAATTAAAGTTTCTAAATATGTCTAAACAGAAACTTCAAGGGACAAATGATAAAATTATATTGCTGACTTGTAAGGTGTTTATTGATCAGGGATTGATTCGATCCATGCAGCCTACCTTGTAGACCACAGATCCCTTCTCCTCTGTGACAGGAGCCATGGGAACATTTTTCTGTGTATAGTTACCTTTTATTTGCAAATGTACCAAACTTAGGGCCAGGTTGAGAACAACAGCTGCTAATTTGTCATGAAAAATAGTATAAAGTGAGTCATGGTAGATACTACCTGTTTCGCCAAACAGAAAATCCATGACCAAGAACCAAGAACCCCCAGGAGCCCCTGCTCGATGCCAGAACACTTAGTTTGGCTGTGGTTCAACTAAGGGTGGAAACTCACCCCACAGTTACCTTGCCTTCCTTGAGATTATGAAAAATAGGTCTATGTTTTGATCCTTCCGAAGTTTTAACTTTCAAAGTCATTTCTCTCCACGACTTTGGATCCTTTTTTACCTACCAAGAATTATTTGCTATTTTTTTTTGTAGGAAGGGCAGACATCCACCCTGCATCGTTGGGTGAGTCACCATTTTACTTCTCTGTTTACCTTTAAAAATAGGTCTGTTCTTGGTCCAGGCTCGCTGGGTGATGACAGGTCCTCTGAGCTCTCAGGAGAGGGGACTCCTTCCTCTTTTGTGCAATGCCCTATTCCTATATTTCACTTCTGGCCACTTTTTCCATTTTCAGTTGCCATTACCATTTGCTCTGGGCAATAAATAAGGAATGAAAAGGGAAACAAAACAGCCCACCACGTTGTTGACAATAATAAGTCTGTGGGGAAATTTTTCGGAAGCCTCACAGATGATCCTCCAGTCGTTCCTCTGCCCACAAGTCTCAGCTGCTCAGGGAACAATGGCTTGCCTGCTTACCTCCAAGGGACAAGATGGGGCAGAGGCCTTGTTTTTTCTTTCTCTTCCAAACTGCAGACTTGAGCAAACAATCTTTACTTAACTCACATGGAAAACTTGCAAACGCAAACACATTCTTCCTCTCCTATTAGTGCTGGATGAAAAGCAAACTTCAAATTAGTTAATGCTCATGCAGTTAAGTGGTTCCCTGTTGACAGAGAGTAGCGGGAGGGTGACTGAGAGGGTCTTTTTGCCGTTGGGCCAATAGCAAAATGAAAGCCAAAATCTCTGATTGCAGGAGAGAGAAAGAAAAAAGGAAACGTAACGAAATTATCTAGGTGGTCCAGCACCCCACCTCTGTTGTATGTTCTAGTTCCCAATTCATGTGGCACATCTGGGTGGCTCTATGAAAAACAAAGGCAGACTTCTGGGAAGAGCCTATGCTGGTCCTTGTCATGGTCTATGAATATTTATGGAGAGGTCCTTTACAGGGGTGCCTGGCGCCACCACATAGTTTTATTGTTTGGCAGATTTTAAGCCAGTTCCAAATTCACTCCCAGGTCCTCAGAAAGGAATGTCTGGGTTTGAGCAATAAGGTAGCCACATCATTCCGACAGGGAGACATGACCCTTTCAGTCCATGGCAGGAATGTCTACGGACATAATTTGAGAAATGAACCAGTTTGGGGACTCAACAATTCTGAACAGGAAGAGCCATTGCAAGGCCCATTGAAAAGTTGGCTGTATTCCCTGATTTCCTGAGATTTAGACATTCCATCCTCAGATCTACAGTCAACTGTCAAGTGAGTACTCGAGGAAAATCAACATAGCACTGTCCTGCTAATTTAAAACAAAAGGACCGAAGGAAAGTGGCAAATCTGTTGAATGATTTCAAAATCACGTTAGACATAATGAGTTGAGGTAACCTTGGATTTAGTGCAATATTAACATCTGGGATATGAGATTTATACCAGGAAGTCTCCTCTAAAGGACCATCATGTTCACTCATTCTGAAACATTATCATGATGCTATCAGCAAGCAAAGGTTTTAATTGTGGACCCAGGTGCCCATGGATATACAGCATGTAGCTTCAAGTGTTGGTTGTACACTTAATATTGCTAATTTCTAAATTCTAGATAAATTTTCTGTCTGTGTCTGTTGTGTATTTTCATCGAAGAGATTATTTACTACTTTCCTTAGCTCTCAAAGCAGCCTTGTAGGTCTTACATATTAAGATTTATTATTCCAATGTTGGGATGAGAACAGACAAAAATATCTTTTCTGGTGCTTCCAAAACACTTTGATGCTTTCCAATATTTTGTATATGAGAGATGCTTGTTTTTAATGCAGATTCCTCACCTTGATGAAAGCTAAGTTGCTAAACGTTGGGACTGGAATCTGGGGTCCTGTATTTATAAACTCTAGAGATGAAGCAGCATGTGCATGGCCCAAATATCAGGCTTCGAATGCTAGGCTGATTTAAAATCTCTGAAGCAAGATTTTCAAAGTAGGCAGAAATTACATTCTCTTCAAATTAAAGCATTTCAGATCCACCCACCCTCTGCTTTATATATTGAACATTCGAGTAAAATCCCATCTAAACAAGAATGAAAAAGAAAGCAATGTGGAAGCCATTAACATCATTCAACACTACCAACACCTTTAATGTACAGAGAAGATACAAGGGTCAGCACTGTAAAGTGATTTCTAGAAAGTCATGCTATGAATGGCTAGAACAAAACCCCATCCCTCATTTAGTTGTTGTTACAGACCTTTCCAGTGATGGCAAATTCTCCCCAAGTTCACTCATTAGACTTAAGGCAGTTTTCCACAAGTTGTCTGGGAAGAAAGACAGAACATATTTATGCTTTCCTATTTAGTCATATAAAGTAGTCCTCTTACCTGGGAACTTTTAATCTATGAAAAATGAAACAACCCTGGAAGCCGTGAGAAGCAACCAAGGCAACAGGGGGCCATATACCTGCAACGGCTTTGTCACTTTCTCTAATGCCAGCCTTGCCACCCAAGAGATGTTGCCTCCAAGATAGTCTGAAGAAAAATAACAAAGACCACCCTGTGAGCTCCTTTGTTCATGTATAAATAGAAAACTCTTCTTTGGTCTAGGTATTATTCGGTGATTAATGACTTCAAGTTGCTTCTTCAGGCTTGGCTTTCTTTGGGATTTCCAACATGGTGTAGAATTTCAGTGTAGTTTAATGGCAAGGAGATGCCTGAGCTTATTTCATGGAAGTGTGGAACTGTATTCATTTAGGAAGATGAGTGTCAAATCTTCAAAGTGCAGTCAAAATAAATTTGGGTGGTGATATCAATTAACCAGGCAAGTTGGAGTCGTAAAACTAGTCAGAGAATGTTTCCCAAACCCCCTCAAGGTTTCTCATGTTGCTGGATTAAGAAAGGAGACTTTTCTTTTGTTTTCATTTTCTGTCTTGGCTTCTGGCCAGTTTTGCAAACTAGAAATTTCAAGGATGGTTTACAAAGCCATCAAACATTTTTGTTTTAGACTTTAGAAGCTGTTAACATAGAAGGAAGTGATATTTATCCAAGATGTAATCAAACTCTTAATGTAAACAGAATTGTCTTTTTCATAATTTCAAATAATGACTAGGAGCATTCAGAATCCTGACCTGAGGTCCTATAGACATCTGAATGTGTCTAATCCATCCAAGGAACATTCCTGATTATCCTTTCCTGTTTAGTGAGGAGTACATCTTTCTGTAACGTAGTGTTGTAGAGTTTTCAGCCTGGACATGTTCAGCCAGTGTTGACATGTTGTGGCCTGTTCCAAGGCCTAGAAAAGCAGACCTAATGGTGTATTGTTGATATTATTAAAGAAGAAGGTAGTTAGGAAAAGAGAAAGCTCAGACACCAACAGAATATGAAGCACAAAAGGATTTCTTCTGGATGGAAGAGGGCAGCAGGGTTTGGGACATGGATGGAGCAATCAGAGGCGAGGTCTTTCTTCGGGAGCAGTGATTTCCTTAGGGAAGGGACCACGGAAAGTGAGATGAGGTATTCAAGAGCTGATGTGTTTGGCTTTTCCAATATGACTCGCAGACTCATTTTAGACCTTTGCTGAATCCCAGAGGGACTTGATTGAGCTCTCTTGTCTTCTGCCTTCTGATTAGCTTTAGTTGGGGTGTTAGGTAGAGACAAGGAGAAAGGCACCTAATGTGGTCTGGGTAGCTGCTTCTACATCCTGGCATCAGTGTTTCCCTCAAGTAAAAGTTTTAGCTGTTGACTGTCTTCTCCACTCTATCTCAGTTTCTGTGTTCCCTCCTTCAGGCCTGAAGTAATATGTAAAATTCACTTGATTTGGGGGTATTGAACATTCCCTTGTGATTTCTCTATGCACTGTCTGCAACTCTGGCAAAAATCATTTTATTAAACTTGCCTTAATTTTCTCAATTTGAGAGTGCCATCTGTTTCCTGCTGGGACCCTGGTGATACAGGTGCGTAATAAGGAGCTGCTGAAATGAGCGCTGTGTCACTTAGAGTCTGGCGAGGAGCTAAGAACATATGACAAAGAGATGTTCTGCATCCTGACACAGAACACGTGTTTCTGGGGAAGAGGTAGGCACTCAAAATTAGATTAGCACATGATTTTTTTTCTGGGCCCGGGAAGCCTTGTTATCTGTTTGGTACACTTTGAGTGTGGCCACATTCTATCCAGCCTTCTTCTTCGCATAAGCAGTATTACTCAAATATGGGCACTCGATATAAATAGCAAAAGCTCTGTTCTCAGAACATGTTTAGATAGTTTTAAAATTCATTTTTTGTTAATTAATGTGTGTGAGTGTTTTGTCTGCATATGTGCTTATTTACCATGTGATTACCTGGATGTCCACTGTGGCCGGAAAACTGACATGGAGTTCCTGGAACTGGAGTTATAGATGGCTGGGGGTTGTGATGTGGGCAGTAGGAATTGAACCCAGGTCCTCTGGAAGAGCAGCCTGTTGTTTTAACTGGTCTCCAGTCCCACGTTAGATGGTTTTTAACTTGTCTGTTGTTGATTTTTACTTTTACAGGTTCCTCTTCCCCTTCTTCCTACAACTACAATGCATTTTTTATTTTTACCTTATTGTTTTGTTGAGGACAACCTCAACAACCAATGTTCCTACTTTGACCTTGATTTCTCCTTAAGATACAATAACAGTTATTAATAGTTAACATTTAATGCACTGTTGCTATGGTTATGGATTTTGATAAATGCTTTATACTCGTTATTTATTATAGTTCACGTTTCAACATTCTAATATAGGAGTCTGAGTTGCTTTTCTGTTGTTGTAGTAAAGTATTATGAGCAAACACAAGTTAAGAAAGCAAGAATTTATTTTGGCTTCCTGTTCCAGGGCCAGAGGATCCACAGGTAGTTGAAGGCACGACATGATGCCAGGAACAAAAAACTGATGGCTCATCTTTTCATTTATACACAGAAGGAAGGAAAGAAGGGGAAAGAAAAGAGGAGGAAGAAGAGAGAGAAAGGTTATGGCAAGGCTATAAACCCTGAAGCTCTCCCTACCCCCACAGTGACATATTTCTTCCAGCAGGTCTAGGCCTCCTAAAAGATCCATAGCCTCCTCAAATAGCATCAACAATGAGGGACCAAGTGTTCAAAAACATTAAGGACATGTATTTAAATTGTGTACATTTGAATCACCATAATAAGTAGCATTATCCACTCAAAGCTTCCAAGACTTAAAAACTCATAAGACTGAGAAGGAGCAGAGCTTGAATTTGATCTTGAGTCATCCAATGTTGATTAGCTCTGTATTACGGATGGGATTTCCACAGCATTAGGTATGGAAAAAGCCCAATGGATGAATTTCTGCTCCACTTTTCTGCATTCATGATGCACTGAGTGTCATAAAAACGTGGCAACACAGAAAGAATAATGTTTTGACAATGTTTATTTCAGGACTTGCCTTGCTTTGGACAGAAAGGATGTTATAGGATGAAGTTATTTATTTTATCAGGTAAGTATTGAACCACTCATTCATTCAACACGGATCTTCTTTTGATTTTTCTATTATGGACTGGATATTTGGGATACATAAAAAGATATAGGAATACAATAGTATTATTTACTTCTTATAGATGAAGAGGCATTCTTTTATTCTAGCTATGAATGCAGTTATGTGTAAGCTGAAAGTAGTTACACATATAAATTGTAAGGATTGTGTAGTTATTTATTTATTTATGTATTTATTTATTTTGAGACAGAGTCTTACTATGCACTAGGTCATCTCACTGTAGCTTTGCCTCCCCTGGAGCTTGTTAGGTAGACCAGGCTATCCTAAACTCACAGAGATCTGCCTATCTCTACCTCCTGAGTTCTGGGATTTAGGGCATGTTCCATCCTGTTTGATTTTTTTTCCTGAAAAACCCTGGTTGTCACACTGTTGATTTCAAACAGAATAGATAGAGGAGAGATAGGCAGATTAATAGATAAATACAATAGTATATAGATATATAGGGGACTCTTTTAAGTGTGGAGGTATGAAAACACGAAATCCTTAGGGTGGTATGTCAGGAGGAAGCCCAAAGAAGAGTTAATTGAAATTCATGCTAAAAGGCTACATATTGTAGCATTCTATTTCTCTCAGAAGAGGTTTAATTTTTTGTCCACACAAACTCAATAAGCCACACTTATTATAAAAAAAGTATATTACTTAAAGCCCATTAAATTTAGTTAGTCTTATCTAAAACACTCTCACAAAAACATCCAAGAATGATGTATATGAGCATAACAAATCTGGGTACCCTAGCCCAATCAGGTTAACACTTAAAATCATCCAATGGTAGAAGGAAGTTCAGAAACTAGCACCACCAAGAGATGCTGGAACAGCGAGGCCTAATGAGTTCTCATTTCCTTGTCAAGAACAAAGAGCGCATATCTAGTTGCAGGTATTCTGCTGTGTTGTGGGTAAGCATGAGATCATACCACCTTACAGAAAGTGCTAGGACAGGTTGAATTTTTAGCTTTTGCTTACTTGTGTCTCTGCTCCTACTTTTTTCTTTACTAGGCTAGCCAACTATTGGCAATGATAAATAGTTATTATCCTTGTTGATAAATGTTTTGACTTGCACCTGGAAAAGGATAATTTATTATCATAAAGGTTTTCTACACTATGTCTTTATAAAGGACCCCATATTTAACTTACCTATTCATTCTTTTGTTTATTCTTAAATAATTTTTTTTGAGAGAGTACAAAGCAGCTAGAACTATTCTAGGTACTGGTGATACTACATTGAATTCAAAGAAACATTTTGGCAGATGCAGTTACCTACAGTCAGACATTAGATAGAGCTCAGAGAATCGTGTAAAAGAAAGAGAGGGAGAATTGTAAGAGCCAGAGGGGTCAGGACAGCAAAGGGAAACCTACAGAAACAACTAACTCATAGGAGTTCACAGAGTCTGAATCAATGACCAGGGAGCCTGCATGGAATTGACTTAAGCCCTCTACATATATATGACAGTTGTATAGTTTGGTCTGCTTGTGGGACTCCTAACAATGGGAGCACAGACTGTCCCTAATGCTTTAGCTGTCCCTTGGGAACCTATACCTCATACTTGATTGTCTTGCCCAGCCTTTAACACAAGGGATATGCTTAGTCTTACTATAGCTTGATATCCACGATTTGTTGACCCTTTTTGAAAGGCCTGTGCTTTTCTGAACAGAAACAGAGTAGGAGTTGATTAAGGAGGGGACAGAAGGAAGGTTGGCAGAGGGAATAGGAGGAGAAGAGAGAAGAAAAACTGTGGTCAGGATGTAAAACAAATCAACAAAATTTAAAAGGAACATGTTTTGAGTATTTTTTTTG